AATATTAATTTTTTGCTCCCAATTGGAAACCCGTGTGAAGAGATGATGTTCTTAGTGTCATGTGTAATCGTCCAGCCCCCACTCATGCACGATTGTTCGCGTGCGTGGTTTTAGACAGAGGATTAAATTTTTGTTTGAAACTTTACTACTCTGATAAGGAGAGTGTTTCACGAATAATTCACGTCCAGTGCTGTCATTTCTGTGACCACTGCAGCAATAATTCAGTGCTTAAAGTAGTCAAAGCATCCTCACCCTTCTGTGGTCTCACAACATTCTTCTGTGTATGTTTCTAGGAACACTGTCCACAACAGGTCACTCCACCAACTACGTGTTGGCCATAGAAATTCCGTCCGACAAACCGCAGCAACACTGGATCAAGAGAGGAGTCGCTATGCTCTGCGCCCTCAAATACTAATCATACCGAAGCACGTGTCGCTAGCGCCCCCTCTCGGCATGTTTGGATGCATCGTGGTTGTAATTGGAATGAGAGCGATGGGTCAGTTTATTGATTGATACGTGGCTTGTGTTCTCTCATGTTCACGTTTTGCTCACTTAAATAACAAACTAGAGCTCGTTTGGCATGCGTGAGTCTAAGCTATGGCATTCGTTCTTAACAAAAGGTGACTTTTATCTTGGTCATGGTGATCAGTGTGCAGAATCGTAGCAGGAATTGATCAATCTGTAGATCATAACATGAACTTTAAAATATCACAACAGAATGGAAAAAATACGTTCTTGAACAACTAAGATTTGACAAACTAAGATATTCCATTCTTGCTTTATGGTAATAAATAATAATATAGTGAGATATTATTTGAACAAACGCATAGAAATTAACAACTAAAATAGTATACACGTCACTGTTAGTGTTATGGCTTGATATATATTGTGTTGCTTCTAAAATTTATTTTTGTGCAATATATTACACCATTTGTTGTAGTGAAAGATGTTATAAAGTGGGCTGTTGTAAGCTACACGATTTCGTAATCCGTCCATTTTATCTATTGAAAATTTCTATATATTGTTTATCAAATAAATAAAGTAGTTGAAGTAATAAAGAGTTATAGTTCAATACACTGAATGTGGTTCTGCATGTAATTAAGTATATTATATTTTATTCTAAATACTATTACAATCTAAAAATCATTCCAACGGAAAAGTAATAAGACCATCTTGGGTTAATTTTTATTTACTAATATAAAGTGTTAACCTCATACAGATAGACGTGTGGCAACTAGAACTATAGTTGCCACTATATGTTGCACTATATGTGGCAACTAGAACTAATAATTATTTTCTTAAGTAGTATATACATCAGCTAGTTATTTTAGAGATACGTTGGTGTTCAGGAATCACCATCACCAGCACCAGTTATCGATGTATGATTTCTGCTCTGTTTGTTTTAAACAATCTTCCTGGCTCTGTGGTAAAGGTCATGGCCATGAAACGTGAAATTCATGATAACGCACGTGCGCATCCGGTGCTGTGCTACCACCCACTCAAATTATTCAGAAGCCCGAACCAAAAATGCATTGTAATTACCTGTGAGCAGAATTGCGTGCACGGCCATCTGTTACAAATGCGTTAGATTGTTGCCCACCAACCCATAGTGGTCATAACCACCCACATAATCCATAATCCATAGTGGACATTGATGGATAAACGACACACACATTGACATTAATTAATTCATATGGTAAACTTATTCATAAGAATGCGAAGGGAACTTGCTGTGACGTCAAGTAAGACGTCGGCGATAAACCTCTATATGTGTGAGTACGTACTATAGGCTTGTAGTTAGGGTATGAGTGACAGATGTTTACGTGTTTATGGATTGCACGATACATTGCTTGCAAATGCACAGTGACGAAAGCGAAAGGCAAGCAGTGAACTGTAGAAGCTTGTAGTGAGATTCCTGTTAGCACACCGGTAGCAGTGGAAGAATGAGTAAGAGTTCATTCGCTTTTCAGAGCCTAATTCAGTAATTGTGACAGTTTGATGGCTTGATAACGCCTCATTGTGACATTCGGTTGGGTTGCCGGTACCTGATCATGGCATTTCGTTAGGTTTCCAGTGCCTGATTGTGACAGGTCGTTAGGTCGTCACTGTCTGATTGTGTCAGTTGGGTTTCCACTGTCTGATTGTGGTAGTTGGGTTACCACTGTCTGTTTGTGTCCGTTGGGTTTCCACTGTCTGATTGTGTCAGTTAGATTGCCAGCGTCTAAATGTGACGGTTAGGTTGCCAGCGTCTAATTGTGACAGTTTGTCTGCTTTCCTGAGAGGCATTGTGACATCGCGACGGGTCGTTAATCACCCGAGGTTGTTTGAGAGGCTCCGACAGACTTTACTACAACAACAGCTACCAATGGGACGACACACGCGACCAGAGCGCACACCAGCAGCACCGTCTGTATCTTCGCCTCTTTTCCTGCGTCCAAAGCCTGCAAGGAGTAAAATAGGAAAGCTGAAATCATTAGCATCAACAATCAACGAAGGCGCATTATAGCTATCGTGAGTTGCAGCGATAGTATGTGTGCCCCAGAATTATTCTCACGGGGTCATTGGCTCCGTTGGGAAGCAGCAACTGCTTACCTAGATTTTGAAGAAAATTAAATAAACACGCCTGGTTTATTTCTTGAACCTGTAAACATCGTCCGTATATTTTATAACTCGTTATAACATAGGGCCGCATGTTGAAAACCTCATTGGCGTATTATTGTTGATTTTTGCGTTGCTCGAAACGTTCATCCCTAACCCTAACCCTAATGCTAGTTTCCTCAACTTGATGAAGAAACCTTTTTATGATAAAGAAAATTCACGAAAAGAACTGGTACAATTTTGATCATATAAATAAGGACAAGAATATTCCAAAAGACGGCCCTGCATACGCGCGCGCGCGCGCACACACACACACACACACACACACACACACACACACACACACACACACACACACACACACAC